TATATATATATATATATATATATATATATATATATATATATATGTATATACATATGGTTTTCTAACTAATTCGTTGCTGCCTTTTTCTATATGTAAATACATGCGGACAAAGTATATAAGGGATCGGCAACCGGAGCGTAATATATTCTGTCGGACAGGTCCAGGGTGGCACAAACAGTAAATATATTTTTGGTACTTAAACAACATTCTTTGCGGGAATATGATGTGATTCATCATTCCGTTGTTTTTGCAACGAACATAGCACGAACACAGCAATGTAGCCCAGCGGGCTCTCGCGCCTTCAGCAAGGTTCAGAGGGGTGTCATGGTTTATAAACGCTAAGTTCATTCCGTGTACTGAAAACTTACGCAAAAGAAAGGGTCATGCAGGAAAGCCAATAGATTGCTTTTTGTCAGAATATAGCGAGTTGAACAAATCCGCACACCCATATATCAGTCTGCAAGCGGCAGATATGCACACGCCTGAGCATGTGTGTTGGCGACCAAAGAACTCGGAAACCTCCCGCAGAACAAAAGAGCATACCTGAGGCCGCAGCATCCGAATCGGAGTCGGACGAAGCTCCATAGTCAACCAAAGGCATACTGTCTGGCTTGCAGTGTACAATCAGTTGAACTCAAAATGAATATTCGATTATAATAAGGATGATAGATTGTGGCTTGTCCCTTCACTACTCTAGTTGTAGTGTCTGTAGTGAACAACTATTAATATTATACTCTGTACAGGCCACTCTACAGTCTACTACAACGAGGACTTCTCGTTTCGACAAACACAGTGAAAAACCCTATAACCCATCATAGACAACTCTAAACCCTACTCATCAGAGGCTGAGCCACACAAGAATCTAAACGCCAACAACTGGGGGCAACTGAGATGTAGCTTATAGTAGAGAGTGTCCAATAACTAGCTATATTTAACTACAATGCCATCCATACGTGAGTGCTGAATAGGGCGGTGGGTGCAGATAGACCATGTAATGTAATACACCATGGGCAAGAAGCAGAAGGCTGCTGCCGCCAAGAACAAGAAGAAAACTGCGGCCAACCACCGCAAAGCTGAGAAGAAAAAGCTAATCGCATCTAATGAACAGTATAATAATGATACACGCAACTTTGTGCCCTCCCAGGCCAAGGGCTGTCATGTGGCCTGCATGGACTCCAAGTGGATTGTGGGTTTGGATCGGTTCAGGTCGGCAGACTTTGGAGACGTATGTTCACGTGTGCGCGTGTACAAGCGTGTATACCTTTATATAGAAGCGGATGCACATATCATCGCATGCCTGTGTACTTGTAAACCTGTGTATGGGGTGAGAATTTGTTAACGAGAGTGTGTCTGTAATACACTGTTGCCGTGCAAGCGTACGCGGAACGGACGTGTGTCATTTTAGCTTGCGCGCTGTTAACATACGAACTTGCAGGTCACTTTTCGCATCTTCACGTTGAAAGGCGTGTATTCAAATGTTTTAATAAGTATAGAAATAAGCTCTAAGAGTCCAGCACGTGCCTGTCGTTAGCTTCTATACATTTCAGTGCAGTAATGGAAACCTCTCAGTATAGGGTGTAGTAATACAATTTATGTTACTATGTGATGTACACCTTTGGTAATATGCATCGCACATCTTCGGCTGTGCACATATATCGAGATGACGTCCCCACTGGCTCAATTGAGCCAACCTCCAATCCAGTTAGTTTGAAAGTCAGGTTGTAGACTGTGCTGAACATATCTCATAGTCCAAAAGTGTGTACATATACTTACTTGCTGACATATATATATATTTAGTCAATATATATATATATATATTGACTAAATATATATATATGTGTGTGTGTGTGTGTGTGTGTGTGTGTGTGTGTGTGTGTGTGTGTGTNTTA